GGGAAACTGCTCTAAGTGTGGGGTGGGGGTGAGACTGGCATACAATGACTGAGTAGGGGAGCGGCAGGGGTGTTGGGGAGCAGCTTGCAGGCCCTCACCAAATCACAGGAGCCTGCCTGCTGCTTCAGGGGCCCCTTATGCACCAGGCAATGTTCTAGATCCTGAAGATACAGCAGGAAGCAAGACAGACAGAAATCTCCATCCTCATGAGACTTGCATAGAGATCATTGGTTTATTATAAAAGGATGTAGCTCAGGAAGAGCCAGATGGAAGAGATGCACAGGGTGAGATGTGGGAAAAGGGCTGGGAGCTTCCGTGCTCCCTGCCCTGCTCTCACCGACCCGGAAGCTCCCCAGAGGAGGGGCTTTAAATAATTCTTTAGAGATTTTACAGCTTGTTTCCCTTCTGGGTCTCACTGAATTGACTCAGTGATTTCAATTTGATTTTAATAAGACATATAGAGGCTGGGCCCTTAATAAAAAATTTGGAATCCAATTGCGACAATTTCCAGTCTAACAACAGGAATCCTTGAAGCTGTTTTTTGCTTTTGGGAGAGGAAAAGATAGGATTCCTCTGAGTTTTTCAGGGTTCACTAGTAGCCTACATTTGGATATTAGACAACCAAAGTGTTTTACCCAGGGTAGACAGAAGGAGAGCCTATCCCTTGGTGTCCTATGTCCCTTTATAGTGAGCTGTTGTAATAGGTAAGTTGTGTCCTTTGGGGAGTCTAGTAATTTCCTAGAGCATAAACTAAATTATCTACATATTGGATTAGAGTGGAATCTCTAGGGAATGTAATATCACTTAAACCAGCTTTTAATATCTAAGATAATAGGTGGGACTCTCCATAGATCCCTGAGGCATTACTGTTCACGTAAACTTGTAATCTTCCTGGGCAAAAGCAAAGACATATTTCTGTCTGATGCTACTGGAATACTGGGAAAGGCAGTGCATACATTCATTACTGAAAAACATCGGCAGCTCACAGGAAGAGCAGATAACAGCAGGTTATGTGGATGTGGAACCATGGGATATCTGGGAATAACTGTTCTGTTTGTGGTTGTGAGATTCTGCCCAAATGTCCATTCTTTTCCATTGGGTTTCTTTACTGGGAGGATAGGAGAATGACAGGGGCTCGTGTATGGAATTCTAATCCCCCTTTTATGTAGCCTTGCATAGTGGCCTCAGGTCCAGCCTGTGCACACAGGGCACTGCCCGGGACCGGGAAAAGGCCTGAAGTTGCATTGGAATCTTCTGTGACAAACATTCAGTCTCGAGATTATTTTCCTCTTGTGGAATTTGCTTTAGAATCATTATTTTCCTAATTGGTCCACTATCTAATTTATGTATTTCTAAATGCATTACACCCTCCTGGAAAAAGGATATGTGGGTGTCATTGGTTTCAATAAAATCTCACCCTGTCAGGTGATTTGATTAGCAAAAATATATATTGCTCCATAACATTCCCTAGTTGGGAGAGAGCAATTCTGCTTTCAAAGCAGACATGGGCTGATTAGATATCTTTACCATCTGCACAGAAGCTGTACTTTGAGCTAAGAGGCAACCTAGGTAATTAAGGACAGATAAAGAAGCCCCAGTATTTACAAGGGCCTTAGTAATTTTCCCTTTTTATGATCATTTTAATTTCTCCTAAACTACTAGTAAGGAGAAGGGGAAACGCCTTTTCATAGTCTTCAGAGCACCCTGTGCTCACTTCTGTTTCTTTTCTCTTTCTAAATCCCATTTCATGTTCCTATAATCCTTCTTAAAGTGAACTGAATCCTCCATAGGAGTTTTTCTGTGAACCCTGTTTAGTAATTCTGTCGCTTTAGCTCCCAGTAACCAGTCGGTATACTATTAAGTAGAAGAGGTCCAAATAGCCAGGATCACATATTCTAACAGTTAAGTTAAATTCCTTTGTGAACCCATCAACATCCCAGAGAAAATTGGGGAAATTTTTAGGTAGGTTGCTTAATTCTGTCCTGGTGCAAGAATCGTATACAATTGCTGGTTCTCCTCTGTCTGAGACCAGCTTTTCTCCAAAGGGAGCGCCTGGAATTCCTGAATTATCCTTGTTTGAATTCCTATTCTCATTTCCCCAGGCTGGTAGGGAGTGGTAGGGAGTGGTGGAGAAGATACAAGGGGAAGGAGGCAGGCCTGGGGAGGGCAAGTCTGGGTGAGGAAGCTCAGAGAGCAAATGTAGCGGAGGAGCTGTGGAAAGGGAAGGCACAAGGAGCTGGTATTTATAAGCTTCAGAAGCATCCTTTAGTTCAGAGAAAGTCTCTAAATTTTCACTTTTACCTTTTTATTAAAGAATTTATCTGTGCTCCTCCTAGAAGCTTTTAATTTCCAAATCAATATATGCTTCCCATTCAGTTTAGTTTTAGAACTGGCATTTTCTTATGCTGGGATCTGTAGAGACTGCACCCATTGCTAGAGATACTGTGTGGTGGGTCCGAGGGTGCTGCTTAGGGGTTGAGCTCCATGAGGCTCTCATTCATGGAGACCCCTCAGCCCTCTTATACTCCTTGGTTTCTCTCCCTGGCTGTCTTAACACAGCTGTGAGGGCTCAGAGCACTAGGTAAACAGCCTTTATATGCACACCCGGACTAGTCCATTGTTTAACCACAGTTGAGTTGCAGTACCCTGTGGGGCTCCTGCACATCATGCGGGATGCCCCCTGACACCTCCACAAAGATTCTTAGTCACCTAAGAATACCTGAGGTTTGAGTTGGATGGAGAAAGTGCCCCTTGTCTTCGGAAGGTTTTTGTTCAGACTCTCCGAAAGCAATTCCAATTGAAAAGCCCAAGTTAAAAACCAGCCATTCATTTCCCCCCCAGTCCTGCCTTAGCCTGGGTTCTCTCTCAACATTTAACTTCTAGTTCCACCTCGAAGATTTTAAAGAGACAGCTCAGCCCTGGCCAGGTGGTTCAGTTTATTGAAGCATTGCCCTGAACCACCAAAACATTGTGGGATCCATCCCTCCTCAGGGCACATACCTAGGAGGTGTGTTTCGTCCTGGGTCAGGGTGGGAACAGAAGGCAACCAATCAGTGTTTCTCTGTCACATCAATGTCTCTTTCTCGCTCTCTCCCCCTCTGCTTTCCTCTCTAAAATCAATAAAAATATCTTTGAATGAGGAGTTCAGAAAATTAAAAAAAAAAAAGACAGCTCAAATAAAATCAGAGCCTCTTAGTTTCAAACAGGGAGGCCCAGAATTCCAATGGAAACTCACCCAAGTTCACCCTTTGCACAACAAGGAGTCGGTGAAGCATGGGGGTGGGGGACTCTGTGGTACTGAAACCAGAAAAGACGGGCGTTCAGGCTGCCTGTCACTACCAGTAAGCAATGACAGCAATTGAATCTTTATGGGCACTTAATTCAGATGGCCGGGGATCTGAGAAGATGGTGGGTTCATACCCTAACAGACCATCTTGTCTCTTTCCAGGCCAGACCTTTTATAACGGGAGAATAAACAAGGTGCGGTGAGGGCTTTGAGATTCAGAAGCTGCAACATTCCTGTCCTGGGCAGTTAGCTGTTCCCAGGGGTAGTGGTCATCTCTTTCTCTCTCTGGAACACAAAGGCCTGGATGCCTCTACTTGTCCCCAGGTGGTGGTCTTTAGCAGTGCCCCAGGAGGTCGGCTGTTTTCCCAGGAGCCAGAATGGGCCTTATCTGTAGTTTCTGAAGCAAAAGCTTTAACATACACATTACTCGCTAGACATTACTTTAGACAAAAGCTTTAACATACACATTACTCGCTACACATTAATAACTTTTTACCTTAAACTGAAATTTTCCAAGTCTTGAGTCCTCTATCAGTACCGAGCATGGGTCTCGGGTCTGCAAGGTGGCCCTGGGTGGGCTTCCTGGGAACCCTGCCAATGGTAATGTCAGTGTAAGAAATGTCCAAACCTGTAAGAATTTTTATGAGTTTATTTGAGCAAAACATCAATGGATTGAGAAAATGTTCTGGAAAATGGCAGTTTTATACATTACAAGCAAAACAGAAGACATAAGTGGGTTATGTGAAATCTGCTGGTGAGAGATTAGGGCGATGGGAAAAAGTAAAGTGGGGGAACCTCTGGGATTGGATAAAAAGTAAAATGATAAAGACACATATTTCTTCCTTGTGGGTGGGTACGGGATAGTTAGTAGTCAACAATGAACATATAACAACAACAATGGACTTGTGGTCTCCCCCTGTGCTTGGCGCGGGTGGGGGAGGAAATCTGGCATTCTCCAAGCATGTTACGGTAGATGCAGAGACAAGAGACAGGCTCAATTAAGGTAAAGAACGACTTTTGTCAGGGAGGATTCTAGCCTCTGACAGGACTGCCTGCCAGGACCTGCTTTTAGTTCGAAAGTTTTAATTCAGACCATCCTCTGTGGTTACTCGAGGTCTCTGAGATTGTGAGGCTGGTCACGCAGGCCTCCCCTGAGCTTGTCAGGTTTCTGTGTGGCCCCTTTCCATCCACAGAGGCCACTGGTGAACTCGTTAAGGGCGGTTCTGTGGAATAGTGGTTTTTGAGGTACAGGGTAACCGAGGACAGAATCGAAGGTGAGGGCGTGGGATGCAAGCAGCACACCCAAGAGTTTTGTTGTGAAATGAGGCAGGAGGTAAACTAGCTGCCGGGGCGGGGGTTGGGCGGGGGGCGGATTTTTAGCTGGGAGCTATTACTCCGTATTTGGCATGGTAGGAGAGAGAGGAAACAATTATTGGGTGGGCAGGAAGAGGACAGGATTCAATTCTATTTGGAGCTTCAGCAGGTAAATAAAAAGAAAGATTCTGGGGATCAGAAAGTCGTGATCCTGTAGATAAGGTATTGCCTAAGGAGGCAACTAACCACTCTGGATAAAGGCTGTACACTTCCTGCTCTCCCTCCCCCTTTCAGCTGAGCCCAGGGCTGGAGGATTCAAAGGTTTCTCTTAGGAAGCTGGTCCCTGCGGGGTGGGGGCAGGGAGGCCTTGCGGTAGGGTTGGGTGGGGCAGCCTCCTCTCTCACAAATGCTTACACAACGTCTGCCAGCAACAAAAACCTTTGGGTGCCTCAGGTCGCAGCGGTGCTCAGTGCTCGGAGAAACCTCCAGAGCCCACAGAGGAGCCAGCATGGTGAAGTTCGCGCCCTTGTTCGTGCCGTGGGAGCGCAGGCTGCAGACCCTGGCGGTCCTGCAGTGGATCTTCAGCTTCTTGATCTTGAGTAAGGCTGGTTGCACTTGGGGACTGGGGAGGCCTGGGCACCGGCTACTTGAGGTGTACAGATGCACGGATGGTGGAAGGACATCAGTACTAAAGGGGGCTTTGCCGTGCTCAGAGTCCCTGAGAGAGCTTGGGGGGGCGTGGTCGGGTGTGAGGGTAGGGAGGGTAGGAGCTATGGCCTGTGCCTTTGGGCAGGTAACTTAGCTATGCTGGTATGTGGGCTCCACTTCAGTACTAGGACAGAGCATGGACCTCAGACTCAGGGGCCTCAGACTGCCTGTGGTGTGGGAAGAATCTAAGCAATTGTGGGGGGGTGGGAGAAGGGAGGAGGCTCCTAGGTGCTCAGACAGATGGATTTTCTTCCTTTCAGAGAGGAGGAAACTGAGGGGGTGGGGGTTGGGGAAAGAAAGGGGAGCTGGGAAAGAACAGAACGGGGAGAGAAAGTGCAGGCTGAATGTGGACTAGGGAGTGAGTGGGGCACCAGGCAAACCTGGGTCACACTCCAGCTGGGCAACTGACCAGTTGTGTGACCTGGTGGCCCCATGCCTGACCTCTCCAGGCCTCTATTTCATTCATCATCTGCATCATGGGAATGACAGCACTGACCTCGCAGGGCTGCTGTGGGGTGGAATGAAGAGATGTGCTCGCTCTGCCCAGCACAGACCTGGCCTGGCTCCTGGGCCAGAGCCACACCAGAGGGACCCTTACCTGCCCCACCCCCACAGTGCACACCTCTGTTGTGGCTGGGAGGCCATGCTTGCCCGAACTTCAGCTCTGCTGAAGGGAACGTGTTTTGAGGAGGGCCCAGGACTAAGGGCTGGGAAAAGAGAGAGACCAGGAGTCTGTGGACTCTTTGTTCACCTGCCGGCAACAGGCTGGGTGGAAACCACTACCCCAGGGCTGGTGCGCAGCATGTACACAGACACCACTCTCCTGATGCTGAAATACGGGCATACTCCGTGTGGCTTGGTCAACAGCAGTGGTACACACACACACACACTCGCTCAGATACTACCGCCACCCCCAGGTGCTTTCTGAGAACCTCCTCACAGTTCTGCAGCTAAAGGATTGACCCCTAGCAAAGCAGGCACTTCAGCCCCTCGCCCCCAGCATCCTTTATGTTGATCTGTGTCTTCCATCCTAATGGGTGTTGAACATTTTAAATATCCGTGGTTGCCCCCATTACACAGATGAGCAAAGAAGCTAAGTGCCTTGAATGCCCAAGGTTGCAGAGTCCTAAGTGCCTTATGTGTCAAAGGTTGCAGAGTCCCAGGCTCTTCCTACTGACACTGGGAGAGAGGGAAGAGGGCAGAGGGAGGGGAGAGGGCAGAGAGTGTGAGAAGGGGTATAGGCTGGGAGGCTGTGGGGGACGCCTGGCGGGGAAGGTCTGTGCCCAGGATAGACTCTAAGCGTTAGTTCCTGGACAAAGGGCACGGGCGTGGGGCAGAACCGGCCCGGCTGTGGCCTAGAGATCACAAGGGATAAGGGACCTCATACTGGGCTTGTCTCCGATGAGCTTTGTGAGCAGAACTGTGTCTTACTGGCCATGCCCATCCCCAGCCCTGCAGACTCGCAGCCTGGGAGCCTGGGAATGTCAGGCGCCACACAGAGGTCAAAGCCACCCTGGGCCTGGAGGACTAGAGGGGGGACAGCTGAGAAAAGGATCCGGGCCCACTGGTGCCAGGATTAGGAGGTTTTACCTTATCCCTTATCCTGGGGGCAAAGGGGAGCCCCAGGAGGGCTTCGGGTAGGGGAGTGACAAGGTCCAATGTGTGTGTGCAAGGGCCCTGTGGCTGCAGGGGAAGCATCTACTGTGTCTGGGTGTGGGGAACAGACCAATGGCAGGGACCAGGCACTGTCTAGATCGGGGGTTACCCAGTTATGGCCCATGGGCCAAATCCAGCCCACTGATTGTTTTCGTATGTGCACAGCCCATGAGATAAGAGTGGTTTTTACATGTTTAAATGATTGCATTTTAAATGGCTATGTGCCTGTGTAATATCCTCCAGGTTGCGTCTTGAGCTGCAAAGTCTAAAATATTTACAGTCTGGCCCTTTAAGAAAAAGATTGACAACCGTGGTCTAGGGAGACCAGCAGTGGGTGGAAGGAAGTGGCCCTTAAGTCAAGACCTATTTAGGAGATGGGGTCCAGAGGGCAGGATTTAAAGGCTGGCAGGAGAGTAAGGGCTTCCAGCTGGTTCACTCGGGAGTAACAGGAGGCATTTGGGGGAGTGGTGAAAAATAGCCAGGAGTCAGCGAGGACCTGTCAGCCAGGACTCAGGCCCTGGAGTCAAATACCTGCCCAGTGGGCTGCTCTTTTGCTGTCTGTTTCCCTTCCTCTCCTCTGTAGCTCACCCAAGACGCCCACAGTGTGTTGCGCTCTCCGCTGCCTCTCCAGCTCTTGGAATAGTTGCAGTCGGTAGATATTTGTTGAATGTGCAATAAATGGGAGCACGATGTAGCCAAAATAATAGAATTGAATCCCAGGTCCCATTTTACTGGCTTGCTGTGGGACCTTGGCCAATTTGCATACCTTCTCCCGGCCTTTGTAAAGTGACATTTAAAAATTTTCCCTTTCAGAGTTGTAAGGATTCAGTGAAAGAGTCCCCCTTCCTAAGGCACCGCAGCCTGGGTTTTGCTGCTCTCAGGAGGGTGAACCCAGGGTGAGGGGCTGGTCCAGCCAGGGAAGGCCTTTCTGGTTAAACTCTCATGACCTGTGTTTCTCCCTAACCTTTTTTTCCTGACTGCAAAACTGATACAGGCCACTGTAAAACCTACAAACAAAATGTGCACCCTGAAAGTGAAAGACTTCCCCAAACTCACCCTCCACGGAGCTACTTTTAACAGTTTGTCGTGCCCTGGCTGACGTAGCTCAGTGGATTGAGCGTGGGCTGCGAACCAAAGTGTCACAGATTCGATTCCCAGTCAGGGCACAGGCCTGGGTTGCAGGCCACAGCCCCCAGTAACCGCACATTGATGCTTCTGTCTCTCTCTTTCTCCCTCCCTTCCCTCTCTAAGAATGGATAAAATAAAATCTTTTTAAAAAACCAACAATTTGTCGTGTTCTCTAGAGCTGATTTCTTCCAAGTGGGAGTCACCCACACAGACTTTTCATTTTGCCCAAGGGGAGGGAGCCCTAACTGGGGTTCTTTATTATTTTTTCACATTAAATTTCTTAAATGTGAAAAATAGATGAAATTTAAACCGCTCTCCCTGCCATCCTCGTCCCTGGCATCCTGTCTCCTTCCTCTGGATCCGCAGGAGCCCTTCCACTCTGCACATGCACAACCACACTTGTGCAACCACGCATGTGCAATTGTTCTTTCCCAAGGTCCTGAGACCTTGCTGAATTCACGAAATCTCTGGCAGCTTCTGGAAGTTTTCAGGACGGTCTACGTACTGAACTGTGTGTCTGTGAACAGGCAGAGCGCTTCTTCCTTTCCCGTCTCCGTGCTCTGTCCATTCGTTTCCTTTCCCTGGGGCGATGGCCAGGACCTCCAGGACTCGTTGAAGGGAAGTGGGCAGGAAAGAGCAGTGTGGGCAGAGCACGCACACCACAAAGCCAAGAGATAGAAAGATCTCAGGGAGCCGCAGGAACACCTGGCAGTTCTGCATGGCCAGAGCACTGGCTGTGCCCGTGAGCAAGGAGAGGCTGCAGCAGGAGTGGGGGCTGGGCCAGCCACAGGGGCTTGAATGCCAGACCCAGCTGTGTGGGTCGTGCCTTGAAGCTATAGGAAAACCATGGGAAGCTTTCATTAGAAGGGGGACCTGGCTGGGCTGATCTTTGAAAAGATGGCATAGAGAATGAACAGACAGAGGGCTGGGCAGAAAGAGTGCCTCTCTTCTTTGAGGTCCCAAAATATGGAAACTAAAAGCAGGTCATGAAATCAGTTGTCCACCAGGTATTTACTGGGTGCGTGGTGACTATAGTTGGCCTTTGAATAACACAGGGGTTGGGGCGCATAGTTGAAAATCCACATGCAACTTTTGACTCCCCCAAACTTAATTACTAATAGCCTGCTGTTGGCCAGAAGCCTTATAAATAACGCCAACGGTCAATACGTATTCTGTATGTTGTGTGTATTATGTACTGTATTCTCATAATAAAGCAAGCTAGTGAAAATGTAATTAAGAAGACTGCAAGGAAGAGAAAGCACATGTAGAGTGCTGTACTGTACTTACTGAAAAAGATCCCCATATAAATGGGCTGATGACAGGGCATCAATTTCACTTCCACCATGGGCCACAGCAGCCTCAGGTTGCCTTCAAAGGGCCGAATGTAATTCTAGGACTATGCAAATGTAACTACTCCTTAACTAGGAGCAAGGAGCTCGGAGATGCCGCCGGGCAAAAATAAGGCTCTGGGTGGGATAAAACAAGGTGGAGGGCTGGCTTTGGTGCCCCCTGGGCCTGGCGTTTACCACCTGTGGCCTATCAAATTCGAACACTGTGACCCAGCTGTTCAAGGGTTGGCTGTACCCTATTGTAGGGAGGGAAGGGGGATGGGGAAGACCGAAGTGCAGGAGGGGGCCCGGTGCAGTGGGGAAGACATGAGCCTGGAGGGTTAGGCCCACCTCGGTTCAAATCACTGCTCCCAGTGTGACGCTGGGCGGGCTGTGTTCTCTCCTCGAAGGCGGGGGAAGCTGATCCCTCCTTCCTGGGCATGTGGGCTGGTCCTCTAGGGAGAGTCCGTCTGGGCATTCTCATCTCCGTCCCCTCACACCTCTCACCTGCTTTCCTCCCCAGGTCAGATCTGCATCGTCGTCTTCATAGGCCTCCTGTTCACAAGATTCTGGTTGGTCAGTGTCCTGTACGCAGCCTGGTGGTACCTGGATGGAGACAAGCCATGGACGGGTGGCCGGCGCTTCTCACCCATAAGAAAGTGGGTGGTGTGGAGTTACATGAAGGACTACTTCCCTGCCTCAGTGAGTATTGGGGCTGGCTGAGGTGCGGCCAGGGCCATGTTGTATCCCATGTCCCCATGGGGAAAGTGGGGCCCTGTGTGAAGTGAGATGAGGTGGACCGGGGCAGGAGCTGGGGCCGCCACCACCACCACGTGGCCTGGGGAAGAGTCCAGCTCCTCTCTAGTGAGGTTTCTCGGATGTGGGGACGTGGGGCCAGTATGAGGGCTGATGAGTGCATAGGGTCTGAAGGATGCGTGGGCATCCTGTGTGGCACACACGTGTGTCTTACAGGTGTGAACCTCTCAGCAGCCCAGATCCGTTTTTGGAGGGGGGGATAATAAACTCAAGGTCCTAAGAGACCATCTTGCTCCATGTTTCATCAGATGAGGACACTGGCACTCAGAGGGACAAAGCTATGACCAAGGTCACATAACAAGTTTTTGTTGTTGTTGTTTTTAACAGGTTTTAAAGTCCGTGCATGAACTATGGGTAAAGGGGAAGGGGAGAGAACTCTGAACTGGTTCTCAGGTTCTCTCCTACTCCTAACACTGGTATGCTATGTGTCCTTGGGTAAAGCCTTGCCCATTCTGAACCTCATTTTCTCCTTGTTATCCACTAAGCAGACTCACCTCTCCTACTCTGAGAGCCTTTGAATCTCTGAATCTCTGACTCTCTGACTCAGGGCAACTCATGGCCACTGCAAACAACTGACCCTGGACCTAAAGATCAGTTCTGAGTGAAGCAGATCCCTAGATTTGAGTGCAGAGTCCCTTCAGCTCCTTTCCTGAACCCCGAACAGACTATGCCCTGGATGTCAGCAGCTGGGCAGGGATGGCGTGTTGGCCGGATGGGATAGGATGGGGAAGGCAGAAGGACACAGAGAGGTGTCAGGCTGGACAGTTGGCTCTTCACTGGAAATGGAAAGATAGAAAGGTATAGAATGTGGCCTCTGGAACTAGAAAGACCAGGTTCTGATACCAGTTCTGCCATACACCCGCTGTGTGACCTTGGGTGAGTTACATAGTCTCTCTGAGCCTCATTTTCCACACCAGTGAAGTGGAGATGACGCCACATACATCATCATGGGCTGTGTGGATTCAATGAAATGGGGGCAAAGCACCTTGCAGGATCTCAGTAATCGATTAGCTAGGGTTATTGTACTGAGTCAGTGGGGATCCTGGGAGCCTTGGGTGCGGCTGTGGGGCTGGTAGGCCACAGTCCTGCTGCTCTGACCTCCACACCTGCAGGGCTCCTCCTATTCTGCCCAGAGCTCCACCTCTTCCTGTCCCTCCAGGAGTCACGTCCCCAGCTGGCAAAGGGGAAAGGAGTGGAGGAAACAGGCTCACAGAGGTTCAACAACTCACCCAAGTCATGGGCGCTCAGGGGCAGTCAGCACTCCTGCACTGCTCCCTCCTAAGAGTCCTGTGGCCCAGTGAGGACTAGCAAAGACTGGGCAACAACCGGGTGCAGGAGCCCCTGACACTCCAGTGAGCATGTCCTTCTGGGCAAAGGACAAGGGTGGGACTAGGCAGGGCAGGGCAGGCCGGCAGGGCAGGGGCTGGGCAGAGGGCAGGAAGTTGGCTGGTGGAGACTTCTGAGCTCATGTTGTAAGGCGCAGTGAGCGGGCAGTGCTGAGCTAACCTGAGGGGTCCAGGTGGGGGGTGGCCCTCCTCACCCCCTATATCTGCACTCTATATCTGCATCCTCTGCAGTGTGCCCTTCCAGGACATTGTCATAAAAGGCAAGCAGGGCTTGCTGGGTTCTAAAAGGACCCATGGGCATGTCATGGCCAGAGTCCCTTCTCCCCACCCAGGACTTCTGAGCTTGAGATTCTGAATTCCCTTCCCTCTTTCTTCTCTTCCCAGGCCAGGGCTTGCTCTCCTGTTCTAGGAAGGTGAGCATTTCCATGGGAACCTGGGAGTGTGTGTGGACATCACCTTCCAAGCCAGAGAAAGCTTAAGCTGGTTCTGGCCTCTAATAGAGCTTTGTGGATGCTCACTCTGTGGTCTGACCACCCACTGTGAGCTGAGTCCTGAGTTCCCGGGGAAAGAAAAGGACCAGCACAAGCACAGGCCCAGAAGCTTGCCACAGTGTGGCTTTGAGCCATAAGCCTAATACTGTTCAGTGTGACTGTAAAGTAGAAGGTCCAGGTGGGGATGAGGCTAAAGAGTTTTTCAGGGACAAAGTAACAGAAGCCACTGAAGGCCGTTTTATAGAACTGGGACTCGTCCACTGAAAGTTCTTTAGGGGGCTGTCATCCAGAGGCCTGTCATCCGGGGGCCTGCAAAGGGTGGCGTCTGGCTGTCGGCACCTGGAGCTGCTGCCCGTTGCAGGTCTAGCCGAAAAATGATGCTAAGGTGGCACTGTGCATATCCTCTCCGCTGCCTTTCTTGTCCTCCCCCAGCCAGGTAGCTCTCAAGGAGGATTTCTCTATCTTGGCACTATTGACACTGGTGGTATAGGAGACTTGCTTTGCAGAAATTGTAGTGTTTTAGGATTGGTGCGCTCTACAGGCCTGTTGCATGGCCACGGGCAGAGGGCATGCAGTACCACCAAGTGACCAGCAGAGGGCGAGATGACACACACTTTGACTTTGCCTGTCCTACGCTGGGAGCCTGCAGGTTTCCTTTCTCACAGGCTCCCAGGAGACCCTCCAACTCTCCCAGAAGGCCCTATAAAGACCTTGGGGTGGGCCGGAGGGAGGGAGTCCCAGCTGTGCTGGAGCTTCCCTGCATTCACAAGCCTCTGCATTCCCATCAAATACCGGTGGATTTCTGAGCGCTTATCAGTTCCTACTGTGATTTTGTGAACTAGTGTCTAGTGGTGGGATTTCAAGAAAAATTAAGAAACCATTCCTGGGCCCTGGAGTTTTCTAAATGGACCCTGTAGGCTTCCGAAAGAGCTAATGTTGGAGAGCCAGGTAATGTTTGGTGTAGGAGGGGCTGTCTCCACCCCATAATGAAGACCAGCCTGGGAGCTGGGTTTCCCTTGTGAGGAGTTCATCATCCGGGAGCAAACCCTGTCCACACAGGCCGAGGCCTGAGGGGGGTCAGATCTGCAGGAGTCCGGGAGACAGACCTCCGTGGCCAGGGCTGTGGCCCCGTGTGTCGGGAAATGCGTGTGTCGGGAAATGCGGCAGTGCTGGCCACCTTCCTGACCCCTCCAACCCCCACCTGGCCTGATCCCTTAATTCCTCTGAAGCCCTGAAGTCTTCTCTAGGGACTTCCTGCCCCACCTCCCCCCAGCCCCTCCCAGCACACAGGGAGATGGGACCCTCCCAGGAGTCTCACCAAACCAGCACAGAGCACAGCTGTCCCCTCAGCCCTTCGGAATGGGGCCTCCATTCTCCCTGACGAGGCTGCCTTTGCCGCCACTCCCTCTTCCAGCCAGTTAGCTCTCCAGGAGGCCATCTCAGCACCATTGACGTTTCGGGCCAAATGATTCTTTGTCATGTGTGCATGGGGAGGGGGGGAGGGCTTCTGACTTCATCCCTGGCCCCTACCCACTAGATGCCAGTCACGCTCCCCTCTACCAGTAGCGGCAGCCAAAAATGTCTGCAAACATTACCAAATGCCCTTTCTGTGGGGGTTTGTGGGGTAGGGGGGAGGGGTGACACACAGACCTTGTTGAGAGTTGCTGCTCTGCAGCCTGGGCCACGGTGTCCCCCAGCCACCTCCAGGTCTGACTCTTCTCTATTACCAACTAAGTCCTGACCATACTTCCTCTTTATCTGCACCCCACTTCTGCCAGTGCTCCCCATACTCCATGCTCCACTCACCAGCCAGAACAATCCTCATAAAATATTGAAACCCATTTTTCTCACAGTCTGCAGACTCCTGCACTCTGGACCCCTGCTCCCTCCTCACCTGCCTCTCCCTCTGCCTTTGCCACCCCAGTTCTCCAGGTGCAGGCTGTGGCAATGGTGCAGGTGTCCTTGCTTGCAGTGCACTCCTTCGCCCCATTAACCCCCTCCACATTTCCCTCGGGGGCCCCTACTGGGTGGCAGAGCCCACTGGTCACACACACGGAGCCGGTCTGCCTGTGTGAAAATCCTGCCTCTGCTGCTTCGTTAGCTATGTGACCAGAGCAGATGAACTAACCTGGTGCCTTGGCTTCCGCATCTGTAAAATGGGGGCATTGGTGCCGACACTCCCCTCATGGTGCTAACAGAGGAGGAAGCTTGGCGGTGTAGTGGGCGCCTGGCACACTTCTCCAACTCTAAGACATCCTCGGTGGTAAAACACACCAGCACTTTAGGTGCCACTAAGAAAAAATCTCCTAATCAGAATTGTTGGTGCATCTTTATAACAACATGTTAAGATGTGAAAAAAGGTGCATCTTAGAATTGAGGAAACAGGTTTGCAGTTGCTAGTGAGTGTCTGTTAACTGAGTGGGAACCTATGGCTGGGAGGGGGGTGTGAGGTGAGAGGACAGAGCCGAGAACTTATTGATGGAGCAGCCTGGGGAGGCCGAAGCCTGGCCTGAGCCGCACTTGGCCACTGCCAGGGACAGGGACAATACCCAAGCCTTCCCTTCCATCCGGCTGTGACCGGGGAGACAGGGAAGGATGCCAGTCCCTGCATGCACACACACACAGCCATCTGCCTGAACCCAGAAGGGGACTCCTGGGATTTAGAGTGGTGATTCATAGACATAGGAACCCCTGGGAAATGTGTCACAAGTCAGATGCCCAAAGCCAGAAACAGAACTTCTGAGTCAGACTCGCTTGCCCTGAGTTCATGCCCTGTTGAGTTATCAAGGTGCACTAACACCAGGAACAGGTGCTTCAGGGCCCAGTTGCTGCTGCAGGAGCTGCATCCTGGAGAGGACGCCTGCGTGCCCTGGACCTTCCAAGTGTGTGCATAAAGGAGAAGGCCCCCCGCTGGTGCCAGGTCTCAGGCTGGCTCCCTGGGTCTAGGGCAAAGGTTTCCTGGCTCTCCCCGATGCTCTCCACAGGAGACGGCAGAGCTCAGGCCCCTCTGTGTGGCTGTGGGCAGGCCGTTGAGCCCTGCGCATCGCAGTTTGCTTTACTGTTCCCTGATGGCTCCCACACTGCAGCCAGCCTCTGGGGGGCGTGGTTGAGCACACTGGTGGAGTGGGTGCTTTGTGACCCATGAAGGAGCCATCGGGACAGTGGGCTCTTGAAGCGTTTGGGTCGCCCCATGGGTGTGACAGGGCACTAGGACATTTGTCAAGAGACAGGAGGGGGCCGACATGATAGAGCTACGGCCCCTCACTGCCACCCACAGTCCGGTTGTCCTCGTCTGGGGGGCCTGAGCAGGGGGTACTAGGCAAAGGTCTTGGAACTCAAAGTGGGAACACCCCTGGGAGGACTAAAAACACATTTGTGCACTGTGTTCGTGGTCACTTTATCGGTGATGGCTGACGAGCGTGAAACGGACAAAGGAAATGCGGAGTAGTGTTCGGTCACAAACAGGAACAAAGTGCCAACACGGGCTTCGACATCGATGAACCTTGAAAACCCTTCTGCAAAGTAAAAGAACACAGACACGGAAGGCCACATGCTGCATAATTCCACTTATATGGGACGTCCAGAAGGGGCAAATCCACATGGACAAACACGGGCGGTGGCTGCCAGGGCTGGGGGTGGGGCAGAGGCGAGACTGCTCTGGGTTTCTTCCTGGGGCGTTGAAAATGCTCTAGAATCAGGTAGTGGTGATGGTCGCACACCTTTTAAACATATTAAATCACTGAATCGCACACTTTAAAAAGGTAAATATGATGGTATATGAACTATATAAATAAAAAAAGCAATACCCAGAGCCTAGCAACCTGGCCATCCCCTTCCCCGGCTGCCACTGCCTAGTGCTAAGCCCTGCCTGCGAGGACAGAAGACGAGCACCGAAGGGGTCTTCCCTGGTCATCCCCCTGTGCTTAGTCATGCTCCCCGCCCCAAAGAGAACTGCGGGAGCGAGGCAGAGGACACAGCACTGTGCAAGCCTCCCCCTCTGTGTTCACCGCACCTCAACCCAGTCACAGCATTGCCAGAAAGGCATTATCACTGTCCTCCTGGGACAGAGGGGAAACTGAGGCATGGAGAGAGCAGGGGCTGGGCAAAGGTCATGTGATGGGCCGGGGGCAGAACCTGGGTCTCGTGACTGCCAGCTCAGTGGAACCCAGGGGACACGTCAGGACAGGGACAAGCGTGGGCTGCATCAGCCTCATTTGTCCATGGACTCATTCCCTCCTTCCCTCGTTTCAGGCTCTCGGGGAGTACCTCCTCTGTTTTGGGCCTGCACTGGGGACCCGGAGGTGCCTCTGATGGGTGCTCTCTAGTCTCAGGACCCTCACTGTGATGGAGGGATACCATGTGGGCACAGGGGGCAGGCAGAAGAGGCTGGCCCAGAAAGTGAGCAGGAGAGGCGCAGGCCAGGCCTCAGTGGCACAGCAATGGCCGCATCAGCACACACACTTGGATGCACACATGGAGATGCGTGAGCAAATACAGGCACACTTGCCTAGACAAGGCCCTCCTGCTCGCCAGGATGGCCCTCCATACACACAAAGGCTTACTCATGAAGGGGATAATCCTTCCTTTATTTGTTCATTCATGTTATTCATTATTCACTTATTGTTCATTTAAAATGGGTACTACATTCTTGTTCAAACTTTGAAAGGGACAGAAGGGTATGTGGTGGAAAGGTCTGTCCCTCCTCACATTTCAACAGCCCAGTTCTTTACCCAGAGGCAGCCACAACAGCCTGTGCTCGGTGCATCCGCACACGAGCACCTGGGGTGGCAGTCCGCAAGCTCAGCTTGCCCCCTGCCGTTCCATCTGATGGGCAGGTGGGTGGGCGGGCGATGGTGGGAATCTCCCCCTGGCAGGACAGGGAGAGCTTTGCTGTGGCTGTGGAGTGATCCATCATGGGAATTGTTCCTGATTTGTCTAAACAGGCCGTTGATGGACATTTGGGTAGAGGCCAAGTTTTTGCTATTACCACACAAAAAATGATGCTTCAGTTAATAATCTTGTTCAGATGTCATTTGCACAAGTGTGAGAAATTCTCTAGCTAAATTCCTCAGCGTGGAGTTGCTGGGTTGAAAGGTCAGTTACATTTTTTGGTTGCAATAGATATGGCCAAATTGCCTTTAGGGGATTGTACAAAATTACCTTCCCTCTAGCTGAGAAAGAATATTTAGAAGCAAGTGCTTTAGTGCGAGGAGCCAGGTGTGTCTTTAAAGAAAGAGCACCAGATGTTCCTGAGGAGGCATGTTTCCCAATGGGGTGGTGGGAAATCTCTGGTTATATGTCTTTATTTTGATGTCCAGTAAATCCCCACTGCATGAGTGGAAGAGTTTTGTCCTTGTCTGGAAGGCAATGGCCTCTGCAGCCTTTTTGCAAAGGGTCAATGGTTAACCAAAGGGCCTGTGTGTGTGTGTGTGTGTGTGTGTGTGTGTGCGCGCGCGCGCACGCACGCGCTGAGACCAAGTCCAGGTCAAGGACAGGAGAAGCATGATGGAGCAGGGAGGCTCAGACCCCCATCGCTGTCCTCCAGATCCCTCCAGGCTGCTGTGAGGGTGGGCGGCCTGGCTTCTGGGGCCCCCAAGACAGCAACGGGAGTCCTCAGGGAGCCACCACTTGGGGCCTCGGGGCCTTCCAACTCTGATGGCTGTGACTCCCAGAGGGCAGGGACCTGTAAAGGGGGGCCCCACGGTTCCTGGCAGGGTGAGGAGAGGATCGGTCCCCCGCCACACACACATATGCAGTCACAGCCCACAGCGGACGTCTTTGCAGGCCCAGCCACGTTGCACCCTGTTTAGTAACTGGCCAGGAGCAACATTTGCTAATTCAGTTCTTGCCCCCTCCCCTCTCCCCACTTCACCTGGAAACTGCTAATGACAAACGGCTCTCCTTTCCCACTCAATCTATGGCATCTGGTGGTGCCTGCTACACCCTGCATGCTGCAGGCCTGACCTACCCTGGCAAGTTTCTGTGTCAGCAGAGCTGCCCATGTCTGGGGCAAGAGTGGGCAGAGGGGAACAGAGAGCCACGGGTGAGACAGGAGGGGTAAATCGGACTAGAGCTGGCCTCCTGGTCTGCAACCTATATCTCTCTGCATACATCTTGCAGATGCTTTCTGGTTTTAAAAGCCAATTTTTCTTATATTGAGTCGTAAAATAGGGCTTTTCCAGCATAGTGGCGCCCCCGTGTGGCCATTCTGTGCCTTCAAATTATATCCTGTAATGCAGCAGTCAGTAATTCCAGGGCACCCTCAGCCCCGAGCTCCTCAGCAGTCCTGGGAGGCAGGTGGGACAGGGCCAAATGCCCCTATTTTGCAAATGAAAAGCCTGAGAGGGAAGCAATCTGTCCAAAGCCAGCTGCGAGTCCGAGATGCAGCCAGCACTGGCGATATACCAGGTGCGTTCACACACCATTTCTCGACCTTCGTGAGAACCAGAGGTTCAGAGACCCGGAGCGAGCTGCCCGAGACCACTCTGGAGGGTGTCGGTATCAGAGTGGGGATGCAGGTCCAGCCCTAGCTCACTAGGTGATTGTCCCTGCAGCTGGTCAAGACTGCCGAGCTGGACCCCTCCCGGAACTACCTCGCCGGCATGCACCCCCACGGGGTCCTGGGCGCCGGACTCTTCCTCAGCCTGTGCACTGAGAGCACGGGCTTCTCTAAGATCTTCCCTGGCATCCAACCCCACCTAATGATGCTGAGCCTGTGGTTCCGGTACCCCTTCTTCAGGGATTACATCATGGCAGGGGGTGAGTCTTCCCCACCTGGGTAGCCTAGGTCAATGAGGCTGCAGGCATGGGAGGAGAGGATCTTAGGAAGGGCTACCAACAGTTATGTACCTCTTCTGAGAGCATATGCAGTGGAAGAAGGAGGGTAGACCCAAGGAAACACTTCCCACAGCACTGAGCAGGGCAGTGAGTTCAGCAAGGGGGTTAGGAATGAGGGAGAAGACTGGGTCCCGGTCCTCAGGGAACTCCCACCTGGAGTGGGTGGGGCAAGGGGACCCAGGCCTCTGTAGGCACTTCTGATGATCTCTTTCTTGGGCTATGGCCACCCCCACAGTCCCTGCCCCCTCATCCCACATCTGACCACCTTCTTCTCTCCCCAGGGCTGGTCACATCAGACAAGGAGAGTGCTGCTCACATTCTGAGCAGGAAGGGCGGCGGCAATCTGCTGGGCATCGTTGTCGGGGGTGCCCAGGAGGCACTGAACGCCAGGCCCGGGTCCTATAAATTGTTGCTGCGGAACCGCAAGGGCTTCGTCAGGATTGCCCTGATGCACGGGTATCTGGGAAGAGGGCCCTCGGTTGAGTTGAAGATTGGCAAGGATTTTATTTTGGCAGGAAGACGGCAGAGACTAATGGAGTTTCTATTTTGTCAGGGAGATCTCTCAGTCCATTTGCAATACAGATGATGTTTCCGTGAGACCTGCACTGTCTCATGCCCAAATACTTTCAGAAAAGCTTCCAGAGTGGAGACTTTGTGACCCAAGGGCCTCGGTGGGAAGGGACAAGTTGCCCAAAGCCAGCACTAGATCTGAGGCCTGTGGGATCTGGGAGGACGCATAACGCAGGGCTGTTCTCTTAGCACGAAGCATCTGTGAAGAGCCCAAGCTAGCTGGGACAGGGGAGTTTTCTACAAAGTTGGCAGGCATTTTCCATCTGGGAGGACTTGGAAGCATTCTGATCCGTCTGTCATGGTGCAGCGGGGAGGCCGTGGCTCTGAGAGGGGCCAGGGACTGCCCCGGGTCAGAAAGCAAGGCTCCAACGGGTCTGGGAGGTGATCTATACGCTCACTTCCAGCCCAGGGCTCTGTCCTCTGCTCCAGTTCCTGGTCGCTGGGTCCCTGCATCCCTGCGGGAAGCTAGGTGGCCAGCTGGGGTCTTCTTTGGAGCCTCCAGAATGCCTTCTCTCCCCTGTCTCCTTCCAGGGCAGCGCTGGTGCCAGTCTTCTCCTTTGGAGAGAATGACTTATTTGACCAAGTTGAGAACTCTCCTGGCTCCTGGCTGCGCTGGACCCAGAACCGGCTGCAGAAGATCATGGGTATTTCCCTCCCGCTCTTCCATGGCCGCGGCATCTTCCAGTACAGCTTTGGTTTCCTGCCCTACCGCCGGCCCATCACCACTGTGGGTAAGCCGAGCCCCAGGCTGGGCGGGGGTGGGCTACAGGAAAAGGGGCCTGGGCTGTGAGCTGCAAGGGGACCCGGGGACGGGCCACACACATCCCAGCCCTCACGGAGCCCACATTCCAGGCTGGGAAGAAGACACACATAACCCCAATGTGAGGCAGTCTGGGATGAGCACTGTAACAAAGACGCAAAAAACAACGGTCTATGCCCCTCACTGAAAACCTATTATGTGCCAGGCACTGCACCGGCTTCCTCACATGCCGTGGTCCTGTTTATCATGACAACCTGCCAGGCAGAGACTCTTATCCCCATTTCATTGAAGCTCAGAGAAGTAACTTCCAAAAAGTCACACTGCCTTTGGTAACAAAGGTGAGGTTTGAATCAGGACCTGTTTGACTTTGTATTATGCCACAGAAAGAAGGGTTACTTCTGACCCAGAGGATCAGTAAGGCTTATTGGAAAAGGTGGGTACAAGGGAAGAGAACCCCAAGTCTGTCAGAACTGTGTGTGAAGTAGCAATCAACAGGCCTGGAGTAGAGCTGGGGGATTTTCCTGTAAATAGTGGACATGAGCTTTAGTGCGTGGACTTAACAGCATGTTTCCCAGCTATTTGGACACCTTATTTGCTTGCTCCTTGGATGCCAACTAGGTTCCTCTGACAAAGCCTGCAGAGAGAGGTCCATTCATCCCCACCCACCCACTCGTTTGTTAGTTGAGCACAGACTCTGTGAACTCCCTGGACCGGGACGCGCCCCGGGTTGTGTGGCAATATTTTCATGAACATAGATACGGCTGCTGCCTCCAAAGGCTATCACCGAGAGGAGAAGTCAGGGGAGCTGCCTTCTCAGCCAGGCAGAACTGGAGGGAGGAGATTAGTCGGGGCCTTCCTGATTCCTCCCTACAATGAAGGGGGCACTGCCGCCAGCATGGAGGGAGGGGAAGGAGGAGCAGCCACCTGAGCTGCAGGTCCACCTCACCCCAGAAATGCAGGCCCTTCTCAGCACCGCACATGAGACCCCGGAACCATATGGCCTGGAGGTTAGGAGCAAATCCCCAGGGTTTAAAACCTGGCACTGGTTCTTCCTGGCTCTGTGGACCTGCACAAGTTACTTAACCTCTCTGAGCCTCATGGGCCCCCCATCAGTGGGAATAATAACAGATTCTATCCCCTTTAATGAGGATTAAAGGGATAATGCATGTGAAGCACCTAGCACATTTCTAGGCACTTGCAACACCAGCTGGCGGTGTTATTATATCTGAACCTCAGAGTGGCTCTAATGTCTTAGAATTCACCAGTCAAAATAGGGTTGGAGGGGATGGCAATAAGGGTGCTTTCCTGCAAGGATGACCACTGCAGTGGGCACCTGCCCCAAGGGCCCCTGTCCTGGGCCACTGCCCACCTCTGTGTTTTGCAGTGGGGAAGCCCATCGAGGTGCAGCAGGTAAAGCAGCCCTCTCAGGAGCAGGTGGATGAGCTGCACCAGCACTACATCGATGAGCTTTGCAACCTCTTTGAAGCCCACAAGCTCAAGTACAACGTCCCCGAGGACCAACACTTGGAGTTCTGCTGAGTGCCTCCCCAGAGGAGGGGCTGCCCCGAAGGGCAGGGCTGGCATTAGGGAGCCCCGTGGGAGGTGCGTGAACTGAGAAGGCTTCCTGGAAGCGTTTGGTGAACACTTCTCCAGAGTCTTCCAAGACTCCTGCAAATCCAACCCCAAGCTGGCAACGTGGGAGGGACGGCTGGACTCTGGCACTGGTGGCTTGCGCTCCTGCTGAGAAACCTCTACAAGCCCCCCTCTCCTCGGTCTGCTCATCTGTGGAATGGGAGAGGTGGCGGGAAGAGAACGAGGTTTTCTGTCCTCTGTGGTGACGTCACTCAGTGGGCAGAGAAAAGAGAGAGCACCTGATTATCAGGTTTTCTTCCTCCACCTTGAGTGACAGCACCAAAGAAGCCACCAGCTCCAGTCCCTTCTAATAGCTCCCTCATCCTGAACACTAGATGTCCCAGCTCCTTCCTCCCGGGCTGGGTAAGGAGAACTGCACTCTGTCACTGACTGTATGTCTGTGTGTTTGTCACTCTCCCTCTGAGCCTCAGTCTCCCTGACTGGCTAAGATGACGTCTGAGTCTCAGCTGTGACATCACACAGGCCAAGAGCTCCACGAGGCACTTCTTACTCATCCTTTGTAACTTCAGCCCCTTACCTTACAGCAAAAGGGGGCTCCATAAACTGTATTCCAATAAATGAAAGGATTCTATTTTAGCCTTCTTCTTTTCTTTCACACCCACAACTAAGAGAGATCGGCCTCTTCTCCCTGCACCGGCCAGACCCTGTGGCCCTGTCTCATTGTCCTGAGAGATGGGCCGGAGAAGGGCTGTTGACCCTTCCTTCCTGATGTGTCAGCCCCAGGCGTGCCCCCCAGCCCTGTTCTGTTGGGAGAGAGGGGGAAGGTGTGTTAAGATGCAGGGCAGACCAAGACAGAGGATGAAGGCAAGACGTGAGGAGTGGATGTTTGTATGTGTCTACAGGTGGGTGACACGGCGACAAGTGTCCTGACAAAAAGAGTTCTGGATCCCTGGGTTTGCAACAGGCTTAAAGGGACGGGACGGCTGGGTGAGACCAGTTCTGGTGAATCCCCCTCATCCTCCAGCAGGCGACCGGGGTCCTTTCCCTCCAGGAGGAGGCCGTGCCAACAACCACAACGTGGGGGCATTTTGAGAAGTGTAAACTTGGGTTCAAATCCTGCCCCCCGCAATTTTTGAGTAAGTCTGGGCCAATCACCTCCAAGCCTCGATTTTGTCTTTCAAAAAATAAGGATTATAATTCTACCTCCAGTGCTGTGAGCATAAGATACTGCGTTGGGATCATAAGCCACATCACGTCCTGTCTGGAATGACACAGAGTGGTGTAAGTTAGGAGTCAGGTGATGGGTCCACAGTGTCTCAGGGAGGTGCCTGTTACCCTGTAAGGCAGCGTGCTACGCGGGTCCATTGGAAGCACGTCCACAGGAAGCAGGAGTAGAGCAGTGAGGTGTGGGGGAGGGAGGGACCGTCTCCAGCCAGGGGAAGTCTCAGAGGAAGTGGCGGGTGGGCAGGGCCCAGAAAGAAGAACAAGACTTGAGAAAGAGAGACGCACATGCCCGTTGTAGCGATCTGTTGCCATGTGAGGAGTCACCCCAAAACCTAACAGCTGCATGTGGCAAGCACCTACTATTTCCCCCAAGTCTGTGGGCTGGCCATGGCTCTTCTGGGTCTTGCTGGGGCTTTCATGCGGCTGCATTCAGCGGTGGGTTGGCTGGTGCTGGGACAGCTGGGGGGCTAAACCCGCTGGGCCCCTCTGTGCAGGCAGGCCCTGGGCCCCTCTCTATACTGACCCGTCTTTAGGTACTCAGTGGTGGCTGGAGTTTGAAAGAATGAACGAGGTTGCAAGGTCTTTTAAATCCCAGGCTATGCAACTTGCAGAGCGTCACTTCCACTGCATTCTGTCAGCCAGAACAAGTCTCACGGCTGCTCTTACGGGAGGGGCAGCACTGTCATCACAAGAAAGGCTGGGGGCGCATGCTGGGTTCTTGTGGCCGTCCTTGCGAATAACCTACCAAAAAGTTATCAGTGAAAACTTGCATCAGAACCACCCCTCCCCACACACCCAGGAATGTTGTGTAACCATGGCAAAAGCCAGACTTTACCCAGAGGGCCCCAGCTCAGCCGCACATCGCCGCCCGTCCCGAGCCCATCCGCCAAGCACCGCCACAGTGAGCCGTCTGAAACTCGAATCCGACTGCGTCACCCCTGCTCGGAATCCTTCAGTGGTTCTCCGAGGCTCCCAGGGTCTGCACAGTATCAGCCTGGATCCCAGCAAGGACCAGATGCCATGCTGAAATGAGGGCAATTAAAAAAAAATACCCTCACCCAAGGATATGTTTTTATTGGTTTTAGAGAGAAAAAAGAGAAAGAGGGAGAGACATCGATGTGGGAGAGAAACATCAGTCAGTTGCCCCCCATATGCCGTCAGACTGGGGATCAAACCTGCAACCTGGGTATGTGCCCTGACTGGGAATTGAACCCACATCCTTTTGGTGTAGGAATGAGCCACCTAACTAACTAACTAATGAGCCTCCAACTAACTGAGCCACCCAGCCAGGGCTGAACTGAGGATACTTCGAGGAGAGCTGAATGGAAGAACAGGTTTTGGGGGTGTATCTGGGGTAGGGGAAAGCATGCAGGCTGGGGGGCTAAGCCAGGGCCGGGCTGGGCAGCGGGGGAGAGTCCTGCTTCTGCCCTGAGGCCCAGAAGGATAAGTGAAGGCAGCAGTTACCTGAGTCAGGAAAGTCATGGTCAGGAGTCATCACTGCAGGAAAGGAGTCAGGCAAGTGTCCCCACCTCACTCTCCTCCCTCCCCCTCCTGCCAAGACTCCCTATTGCCCCAACCCAAATGGAAGCCAGAGAGCCCGAGGGCCTGTGGCAGCTGTCCACGTAGGTAGGTCTCCCAGGAAGGAGCAGGGTGGACAGCACTAGAGAGTGGATCTGGAGGGGTCCACAGAAGACAGAAGATGTCCCCCTCAAAGCCAGGCTCCTCAGCCTGCCCTTCGCCACTCTCCACCACCTGGCCCGGTCCTCCCCTTCCTCATCTCTCCTCTTCCCGCAGCGTATGCTCCCTCTCGACAGATGGAACCGCCTGCATGTCCACGTATCAGCCACGCTCTCTCTCTCATCTCTGGGCTCTGCCTGGAATGTCATCTCCTCCATTCCAACTCCCCCCTTTTCTGGGTAATTCCTACTCATCCTTTGATGCCGGTTTCATCTTCTCAGGGAAGCTTTCTTTCCCTAATGCCTGTGGTTGAGCTAGGGGTCCCCCAGACTGCCCCTCCCTCTGCCACAGCACGCAGCACCCTGGGTGGGCACTGGGTGGACCTTGTGCAGGGCACTCCTGTCTCCACTGCTCTCCTCCAGCTGACCCACATGTGGCACCTTCGTCCTCTCTCCCCAGCAAAACCCAAGTCCCCAAACTGGCCTCCAATGCCTCCAGAGAGGTCTAGAGGCCTCCTCAGCCTGGAATTTGAGGCCCTTCTCATGCTCCCCCTTGATCTAAACTCACCAGCTTCACCTCCTAGACCTTCTGCCCTGCACCTCATCGCCCCCTGCGCCCTTCAATGCTCGCTGAGTGTGCTCTGTTCTCCGACCTGCTGTGCCAGGGGCATGCTAGTCCCTGGTCAACATCACTCCCCCCCAGGCCGGCTAGGAGGCCTAGGAGTTGTGCCATGAACCCCCTACCCCCACCTCTGTGAATTGGGCACAGAGCGCAGGCACAGAGAGTGTCCGTGGCAACCGGCAGCCTGCTCATGGCCTCTGTGCCCTACGCCCCGCACACCGGCCCTGACCTGACCTCAGTGCAGCGGAAGCTCAAGGAGAAACGTGAATGGGAGAAACGTGAACAGAAAACGGCATTGGAACGGTGGCGATCAGCAATTTTGCACAGGGAGTTTTGGGAGATGTTTATTGCAGTCTTCCTGGAATTGGGCAACATTGAACAAACAAGATGAGCTTGGTGCTTTGGCAAATGTGAAAGCCGCTGGTGAACCCTATTCCCTCTATCAGGAGCAGTAACTGAAAATAACGGAGCTCTTGCAGAAAATCTGGGACTTGTCCACAAGTCTTGTTGTGAGGGTGGGTGGCTGATAAGGATGCAGACCCTGCAGAACCAGGCCAGCTGACGAGTGAGGGAGCGGACGGGGAACGCAGCAAGTCCGCTGAGCAGTGGAAACAGAGCCCCCTCGCTGAGGGAGCACGGAAAAACTTGATCTAGAATAATTGTGTTAAGTGGTGGACGTAAGATTTAAAATAGCAACTTTTAGTAATATCAGTGGAAAAGGAAATGAAAACAATGCTATTGGAAGGAAATACCCCTTCACTTTTTAATGGCTGCTGATAAACGTAATATGGTACCCTATGATTTTTATCTAGGCTACAGTTACAATATTCAGAATTCCTGAAGTTATCTGTGGTAAAATATAATTATAAAAATTACGTAATTCAAAGATAACATTGTTATCTTAAGTCTTCTATGATCTTATTGTAACCTACTTACATTCATCTCTGGATTCGGGTCAAAATACTTAATGATCTTTCCATCGGAAAGAGCTAGCAGCGGAGCAAAGTTTTCGTTGGTCGTTAGTGTCAGGTGACAAAAATACTACCTTGATTTTGCAACACGCTGAGTTTGCTGATGCTATTTCTACACAGTGAGGCAAGCAGCCTGAGGGAAAACAAGAAAGTTTAATAATAAACCCTTCAACTTCATTTAAAAAAATATTCACTTGCCCCCGAAGGTCATCCATCGCCTTTGTCAAACTTTGGCACACCCCACCTACCCTCCAACCCTGCTCTCCCACAGCACTGTCCTAAATCAGAGTCAGGTACCCCTCTTTCAGGCTACCTGAGGGGTGAAAAGGGCACAGTCACTGGTGGGTCAGTGGACTCCTCCGCCTCCCAGGGGCCTGGGAGCCTTGAGGACCCAGACGGCACACTTGCAGCCCGCAGCCCCGCCCCGGCTCTCAGCACCAGACCCGCTGCAGCTCCACAGCACAGGGAGTGTGCACAGGCAGGGTGAATGAGCCCTCACACGGTGCCTCCTCTGGGGCATGCTGGGCCTGGGGCGGGACTGAGGGGAGGAGACCACCCTGCCTCTAGAAGTTAATGCTGCACAGCAGATACTCCAAACCTCATCTGCTTTAAACAACAAACCTTTATTGTCTCACAACTTCTGAGGGTCAGGGATTTGAAGGGTTCTGGCACAGGTCTCTCGTGAGGTTGCAGCTGAGCTGTGGGCCAGGGCCACAGTCTCTGAAGACTCGAATGGGGCTACAGGGTCCACTCCCAAGGTCCCCCATGTGGCTGTTAGCAGGAGGCTTCTGTCCCTTGATGGGTGGGCCTCTCCATGGAGCTGCCAGTGATGGAGCTTTTCCCACAGCAAGTAAGTCAAGAGAGCCCGCACTGCCATTTATGATCCGGCCTCTGTGTTGAACACCATCGATTCTGCCTTGTTCTCTTGGTTAGACGTGAGTCACCAAGGCCAGCCCACACTCCATACGAGGGTGCAGATCCCAGGAGGGGAGGTCATTGGGGGCCAGCTGGGAGGGCAGAAGCTGAGCTGGCTGAGTTGAGGGTCCTCAAATAGGTGGGGAAATGGTTTGAGCAAAGTCAGATGGAAAAGATGGCTGTGACCCCCTGACCTGGCTGGGATGGAGTCTGGAGAGACCATTTGACTTGAGGGTACCAGGATGGGAGATGGGCGATGGGGAGAGACTTGAGAGGCCAGAGGGAAGTGGAATCTTCCTCTTTCACAGCAATTTCAGGGACCCCATGCTGAAGACACCAGCGGCACTGATCTCGGGGGAGGGCTGCCAAGGCGGCTGCCAAGGCACCTGCCCAAATAGGAATATCTGTCTGGGACTGGGTATGAGCAGAACATGTCCTTTTCTGTATTAAGTCCCTGAAATTTGTATTTGTTATAGCAGGTGGCCTCCCCTGCTAACACAGTGGGCCAGGAGTTGCACATACAAGGATTCAGTTATTAAATCAATGCCTTCTAACTGATACCTCCTCAGAGCCCCCAGAGCCTGCCTGAGGGGCCTCACCATTGTGTGGGAAGATGAGTTCCCTCACCCCAGCACAGACACAGATTCAGACCACCAGAGTACGGCAGGATTCTTCAGGCGTGGTAGAGAGGCAGAGGTCCCCGGAGCCTGCTTGAGGCCTCAAGTGACGGAGAAAGCCGGAGTCTCCTCAAGAAATCAGGCTGCCCTTTGACCTGGGTAGAAGTTCTCAGACATCATTACCCACAGGGGACAAAGGGCCTGCTGGGGCCCAGCCTGTCTGACACTGCTTTATGGTGACAGGGATCAGCCAGTACAGCACTGCTAGCAGCCACGTGGCAGGTGCCACGGCTCAAACCACAGGGCACTATGCTTTGCTAAGGTTCAGAAGGCGGCAGAGGAGGGAGGAGGGAGGCTGCTGAGCCAGGAAAGGCAGACAGCAGGGAAAGTACAGGGCACACACTGATGGTTGCTGCCGGTGTGGTTCGGGATGTAAGAGCGAGGTTTAAGGTACGGGAGCCTAGAGGTTCAGCAAGTTTTTACTGAGAGAGAGTGGTGAACAAGGCTGACAAGCTCCCTGACTTTGACTTTGCCCTGCCTGCTGGCTGGTGAAACCCGAACGTCCAGGCAAGGAATCAGGAATTTATCTCCGAAGTAAGGAAGACCCCAGGGAGGGCTTTGCCCTGGACTGAGTCAGGGCCAGAGGGCCAGGTCGTGCCTTCGGCTCACCTGGGCATCTGTCTTAATAATCCCACGGAAAGGCAGAGTCAGCACGCCTAGCTACCTACTGAGAGCCTGCGTGCTGAGTTCCAGGTGGGGTGCTTTTCGTGCATTATCTCAATGACACACACACACAGTGACCTCTTTGTAATAAGTGAGGCTTGTTCGTCAGAGAAATCAAAGGACTTTCTAAAATCCTGCTCCCAGTGTGAGGCCTGCCTGCCCAGGCAGCAGGCCCATGCTGCTCCCCCCTCGCCCAGCTCCGGCCTCAAACAGGCCGAATGGCATGCTGGGAATGGCAGGGGCCTGACACACAGGTACCTGCTCTCCCACCTGCTTGGCTGGGTGACCCCAAGCAAGTCACATCCCCTTGTTGCACCTCAGTCTCCTCACTTGTAAATGGTTCATCCTTAAGGGAGTGTTTGATAAATGCTAGTTCTCCCTCACCTCTCCCCTTTGGGAGCGCCAGGCAATGGTCCTTGAAAGACCCATGGGGGTTTGTGCCTATCACCAACCAGGTTTGGGCTTTTCTTAGATTCTGTATCTTCCCCTCACTCCCTGC